ACACCGCCCAGAGCTGGGCGCAGAAGAAGGGGGTCCAGCAGAGCACGAACACCCCCAGGACCACCACGGCCATCCTGTGGCTCTTGGCCCGGGCTCTCCCGAGCCCCCCCGGACCCCCCCGGCCCTCCCGGAGCTCTCGGGTCACGGCCAGCTGCAGCCCCCCCAGCAGAGCCGCGGGGGCCACCAGCACGGCCAGGGCCACCCAGGTGATGTAGGCGCGGGCCCCCCAGGGCTCGATGAAGGTGGCCCAGCAGTCGCTCTCGCCCGGGGCCACCTCGCGCTGCCCGAAGATGCCCACCTGGGGCAGCCCGAACAGCAGGGACAGCGCCCACGCCGTGGCCAGCGCGTCCCACCCGCGCCGGGCTCGGGACAGGGCGGAGCGGGCGCGGCCCAGGGCGGAGCCAACCCACGCGGTCACCGCCCCGCACCATCCCGCGACCGCCCCGCACCACCCCGCGACCGCCCCGCAGCAAGCCACGACAGCCCCACGGCTCCCCGGGATCGCCTCGTGGTCCTCCAGGATCACCCCGCGGCTCCCCGGGATCGCCCCACGGTCTCCCGGGATCGCTCCACGGCTCGCCGGGATCGTCCCACGGTCCCCCGGGATCACCCCGCGGCTCCCCGGGATCGCCCCACGGTCTCCCGGGATCGCTCCACGGCTCGCCGGGATCGCCCCACTGTCCCCCGGGATCGCCTCATGGTCCCCCGGGATCGCCCCACTGTCCCCCGGGATCGCCCCGCAGCCCCCCGGGATCGCCGGGGTGGACCCGCACCCGCCCGGGGTGGCCCCGGACCCGCCCCGGGTGGCCCGAGGTCCCTCCGCGGTGGTCCCAGACCCTTCCACGGTGGTCCCAGCCCCCCCTGTGGTGTCCCAAGACCCTCCCGTGGTGGCCCCAGACCCCCCTGTGGTGGCCCCAGACCCCCCCACGGTGGGCTGTGACAGGGACCTTGAGGCCATCGGGGGGGACGATGGGGGTGATGGGGACATCAGGGGGACGCGGAGCCTCTCTGGGGTGCCAGCGGGACTTGGGGACACCGGGGTGACACAGGGGGACACTGGGGGGACATGGGGGGACTTTGGGGTGCCATTGGGGCTCAGGGACACTGGGGTGACACAGGGGGACACTGGGGTGACACAGGAGGACACTGGGGTGACATGGGGGGACTTTGGGGTGCCATTGGGGCTCAGGGACACTGGGGTGACACAGGGGGACACTGGGGTGACATGGGGGGACTTTGGGGTGCCATTGGGGCTCAGGGACACTGGGGTGACACAGGGGGACACTGGGGTGACACAGGGGGGCCCCAGAGCGCCATTGGGGCTTGGTGGCACTGAGGTGACACAGAGGGTCGGGGACACGCTGGTGGTGGCACTGGGGGCCTGGGAGCACAGGGGGGGCGTGGCAGTGACACTGCAGTCCCCGTTGTCCCCGTGTCCCCACGCCCCGGCGGGTTCCCACGTGCCATCCCAGGTGTCCCGGCGTCCCTGCGCCCCCTCCCCCACGCTGTCCCCGTGTCCCCACCCCCAGCACCCAGTGGGTCCCCGCGTGCCGCCCCTGGTGTCCCCGGTGTCCCCGCGCCCCCTCCCCCAGCAGCCCCCACCCCTCCCCCAGCACCCAGTGGGTCCCAGTGCCCCACCCGGGGTGTCCCCCGTGTCCCCACCCCCCGCGGTGTCCCCACGCCCCCGCCCTTCCTCACCAGTGTCCCCA